CAAGGCGCGACATTGACATTCTTACCTCGATGCTCTCATGCGTCCGAGAAGCCAACCGCCGAAGGGCTGAAACTCTGCGTGGGTAGCGTGCCCTGGTATCCTCCTTTCATCGTGCCATTTCTTCAAGCACAGTTCGCAAGTCAGATGATCTAGGCAACTCCGTGTGTCTGGATGACGTCTGGTGCGTGTGCGAGGGCCGATAGGTACTTCCCTCAGTATATGACCTCTCAGTTCTCGTTCCCTCAGACCTGGAGTAGCGAGTCCTGGAAGTCATTGATTGAGTGTCGCCTGTTCTAAGGCTTCTACTTTCTGCTTGCGATGGTGTGGTACGCCTATCACGATCCTCCAAGTAGCGAGGGGGCATGTTGCCTTTGCGCCCCTCTCCTGTCGCCACCCCTTTTCCTTTTATCTGGCGCTTCATTGACTCCATGTCTGCCGCCATCTTCCTTATTAATTCGTCTTGCTCCTTCACGCGATCCTTCAGAACTTGAGGGTCCATCCTCCTCCTCTGTCTTTCAGGACTTTGAGAGTGATGGGGGCTGCCAGCCCGCTTCCCCCTTGCATCCCTCTGGGGGTTCTGTCGCTGGGGTTCTAAGTCCGGCATGGGAGGGATAGAAGGCAAACCTTCGCACCTCCCACCCCCCTCCGGGATTTTCCCATCAATGGCTGATTACGGCAAGTTTTCATTGTGCGCCATTACTTCTAACTAGAGAGGAAAGCTTGATCAAGAGGTTTTGTTCTTTGTGGATTTCCCACAGACGACGCCAATTGTATGAGTACAAAATAATGTTCTCGTATGATCCTGTTGATTAAGTCTGCGCTCCTCCAAACGTCGTCGTTTTTACTCCCTGAAAACACAAACGTGAGCTAGCCGGTGGGTGTGTGCCGGATACCTCTCCGATGCCTAAGTCAGCAAAATAGACAAAAGCTCTGCGTATTCGGGAATTAAAGTTGTGTTACATCTACATAGGCTATGTTGTGAGCTTTTATAGGTTCCGCATAGCACAATTCTAGTAGGACTTTTATTCCTCCATGTAGAGTCCTCCTAGGAATCACACTCTTGAAAGATAATACTTATCCTTCAACACCCCCCTCACTGCTTAAACCAAGTGAGATGGTTTTACCACGGTTGGATGACAGTACGACCAAACTAACACTAGCCCTTTGTTAGTTTGGAATGGGCATGATATTAACGGAGAAACCAATCGGCATGATATTGAAATGGTTTTTGGAGGCCTTTTGTAGTGAATTTGGACTAAAAATAAAATTTTCCAAATCCGAGTTGTTTGTTAGTCCAAATTTGTTGAGGGAAGACAGGTTGTTATTGAAGGAGAGTTTAGGTATTAAGATTGTTGACAAACCTAGTGTGTATCTAGGCTCTTCTCTGAATTTTGCAGGCAAAAAGGTTGGTATTTTTCAAAATATTCTTCATAAATTTTCTGCTAAGTTGCAAGGTTGGAAAAGAGGCTAGCTTTCTTTTGCTGGTCATTGTGTGCTGGCAAAACATTCCCTTCTTTCTATACCCATGTATTTACTTTCTGTCTTTAAGGCCCCGGTTTGTTTTATTAAACAAATTCATAGCGTGATCGGTCGTTTTGTTTGGAAGGATGAACAAGGGAAGGGGATGGATTGGAAAAATTGGTCTACTTTGTGCTTGCCTAAATCCATGGGAGGGTTGGGTTTTGGGGATCCAGGCTTTTTTAATCAGGCACTTTTAGCTAAAGTCGCTTGGCGTTTGTTGACGGAGCCTGACTTGCTTTTAGGTAGAGTGTTGTTGACCAAGTATTGTAGGAGAATAAAATTTTTGGATGTTCAATCGGCTAAAGCATGCTCTTGGGGAAGGGATTTACTTAAAAAAGGGCCTGTTTGGTGTCTTGGGGATGATCAGCTTATTGATCCTTTTGAGGATGAATTTATCCCTACTATTGAGAATAGCCTCATTGGTAAGGGGTTGGGTCGGTTTTTCTCTTCTTTTAAAGTGGCACATTTGATTAACCCTTCTAGTGAAGTGTGGAGAAGGGATTTGATTCAGATTCTGTTTCCACAACAATTGGTGAATCATATTCTGCAAATGCCTATTCCTCAAGTTGTGTCTAGTGATAAATTGGTGTGGAAATTTACCAACTCTGGGCAATATACAGTTAAGTCTGGGTATTTCTCGATTGATAGAAATTCCCCCGTGTGATAATGTAGCGACAGATGTAAGGGGATTTTGGAAGAGACTATGGCACACCCATTTGCCCTCTAAGTGGGCTTTTTTTATTTGGAAGGTGATGCATAGTATTTTGCCTGTACGAACCATCTTGAGAAGCAGAGTAGATGATTTGTCCACGGAATGTCCTAGGTGTTTGCAGGAGGCTGAATCTCTGGAACACTTATTCTTCCAATGTTCATTTTCTAAATATATCTGGAGAGGTTCTCAGTTAGGATTGGATTTTGATAGGGGAAGACCTCTGTTAGTGTAGGATTGGGTGATCAATTGGTTCAAGAATGCACCGGATGAGAAGGCTATTATTGATGTTATTAAGAGCATGTGGGGTATTTGTGTGTTTCGTAATAAAGTAGCTTTTGATCATGGGTTATTTACCCCCTTGGATGTGCTTACTGTGATTAATTCAATGGTGTGGGATGGAGCCTGATTCAGACCTGACTCTCTTTCCTCTAAGGAGCCTGATTCAGAACTCCTTCATTTTACTAATTCTTCATGGTGTCCTCCTTGTTATTTTGATATATTTCTCACTGATGGCGCATGGAACAAGTAGTCTTGCAGAGGAGGAGCAGCTTGGGTTGGAGTGGATTATCAAGGGTGTCCGATTCTTACAAGAAGATATTCTTTTTTGTGCAACCTCAGCCATGGTAGCAGAATCTTGTGCTTGTTGGGAAGTAGTTAAATGGTGCAGGCTCAATGGCATCAAAGTAATCCAGATTCAAACGGATTGTCAACGGTTAGTTCAACAGTTAAATGGCTCCATGAAGGTTAGCTGGGATATTATATACTATGTTGAAGATATTAGAGCTATGTCTACCTATTTTGATTATATTAGTATTGTAAAAGTTCCAAGGATAGTAGTTCAAGCAGCACATTGGGAGGCCAGGGCTGCTGTTAGGTAATGTGTTTGTTGTAAAACTTTATTGATGTTTAATCTATATCTTTATTATGACAACCAAAAAAAAAAAAAAAAACAAAAAAAAGAAAGGTTAATTTTGATGAGGCCGAAATTTTCGTCACTTGAACATTTGTGCTTTATATATAGATATAGAGATATAGATAGAGACAGATAGAAATAAATTAACCCTTCTTATACATATCTTTGTCAAAAAAAAGATTGGAAAACTCATCCAAAGTAATCCATCCCTGAAGTCATATAAACTATCATGGCTCACTAAAACTTGTAGTAATTGTAACATCATGAATTTTTCGATTTGGGATTTAACACCACAACGGGGTGACTTTTATCTGGTAGGCCAGTGCCGTGTATTGTTATTATTTTAATTACTCATAAATGAAACCACAGGTCTCCGCATATTGAATAGATTACAAGTAGAGGCGGCTTGACTTTATTTAAGGGAAAAAGATTAGTCAAGTGATGATGCACTTTTGTAACTTTCTCTGCATTGCAGATGGTAATTGACGATACAATATTAAAAGAATAAGAGTTGAATTAATTTTTTAGAGATAATTTATGGAATAAAATATGTTTTTTTTTAGGTTGGATTTATTTCATGTTCGAATCTCAACATGATAGAACTTGAGGGGTCTGTAGGGCTCAACACGGGTCTCGTTTCGATGAACTGAATTGTTCATTTTGTAAGATTCACAATGTATATTATCTATGAAAAAAATTAATTTGATCCAACTATCATAAGTTTTTCATTTTATTGCATGTCTCCAAAAAAATAGACGACAAATGTATATTTGAAATAGACCATTTATTTTTTTAAAGACAAATATTGATAATTAAAATCATAAACTTATTAACTTTTTCGAAAATATTTTTTCTACACCTCACTGATATATAATTCTCCCTATTTTGTTTTGTATATATACAGAATTCATCCACGTAAATATTTCAATTTTTTTATATGATTCACATTCATTTTATATGAGTTTCATAATTCATGAGTCACAACTAGAAAACTGACCTTTTGCTACTATATAATTTGCGACCATCTGATTAGCCGTCGCAAATAATCAATTTACCCCTTTATTTTCTTCTATTTATTTTCCCTTTTTCTTTATACTTGCCCTAGCCCCTCCACAAACACCGATTGTTCTCTCTCTCTCTCTCTCTCTCTCTCTCTCAATCTCGCTTTCTCTCTTTCTCTCAATCTCGTGCTCTCTCTCCTTTGATCTTCTCAAATTAGCACCTCTACTACACATGTATATGTACCTCTATATATTATGTATGTGTTGTGAATATCAATGTTTGAAATTGAATTTATTCTGTTGAGGTCCGAGCAAGAATCGAAGTAGACGTCCTCAACTTCCTCAAGATCTTGAACTCTTCGACTCCGACAATCTCATATTTCTTTGGTTTGCAATTTTGCTTCAAATCTCCACTCTCGAAATGTGTATATATATGTGCGTGTGTGTTTTTGTGTTAAGCATTGAGTCACTGTTGATTTTAATTTGACAAATTTGGGGATTTTTGAGAGTGTTATAGATCAATAGAAGATGGAATAATAGCTGAGGGTTTGTTGACTGATGTTTCGTGGATTTTTCTTTCTCACTCGTTTTGCACGAGGTCTTTGATGAGAGTTAACTAACACTGCTGAATCTTTCATTAGAGGTAATAATAGGATCATCATCATCTCTTTTTCATTTGCCTTCTTAATCAATCTCTTGAAAAGTACACATTGCCTCAGCATATGTATCCTTCAATTTAGGCTATTAGGTTTTTGGCCATTCCATTGATGTCTCTTTTTTTTGCATCTCCCTGCTTAGTTGTTTCAATGTGAAATTTGCATGGTTTGTCTGTTGGTTGTTTACTTCTTTGGATTTCTGGAGTTAAATAAGAATGTACCTTGACTTTGCAGATACGATAAGAAAAAAATGAGTACATTGGACGTAGCTAGAGCAGAGCTTGGCCTTGCGGTTCTGTATTTGAACAAAGCCGAAGCCAGGGACAAGATATGCAGGGCAATACAATATGGTTCAAAATACTTGAGTAACCGGGAGCCTGGCACAGCCCAAAATGTTGACAAATCAACTAGCTTGGCACGGAAAGTGTTCCGTCTTTTCAAGGTCAGGCTTAATTGCATCTTTTGGTAATAAAATTGTCTTTTTCACTCATCTTCTCTGGTCTCGTAGTTAAGTACCTTTAAATTGTGGAGAATTTTTTTTTTTTCTTTATTTATTCTTGCTTAATGTCCATTTATTTGGTGTATAAGGGTAACTGTTTTGTTATTCATGCTGTGAAATGACAGCTGACCTCAAAAGGTTAGATGAAGAATTTTCTGGGAAAATCAGTAGGGAAAAAAATAATTCTGATTTGAATTCATATCTGTATGGCACTTTTATTCTTGGGCTTATCTTAGGTTTGTTATTTATGCAGTTTGTCAATGATCTGCACGCGCTCATTAGTCCAACTTCTCCTGTAGCACCCCTTCCCCTTGTTTTGCTGGGAAAGGTACAAAATGGTTTGCTGACTGAATGTTTTTCTAATTAATTTACACATGATTTACTTTTTTGTCATTTTCTTACCACTTTGCTTTTTTCTCAGTCCAAAAATGCACTGTTGTCTACTTTCTTGTTTCTGGATCAAATTGTCTGGCTCAGTAGGACAGGCATTTATAAGGTATGGAATGAACTTTCTCCTTATACAGTCTCATTTTCTTCACTGATTTCAAAGAGGAATACTCACAAGATGGAGCTTGGGTACTTTGTTGATTATATTTAGAACAAAGAACGTGCAGAGCTAATTGGCAGGATCTCTCTTTACTGTTGGATGGGTTCCTCAATCTGCACTACCTTGGTTGAGGTTTGCCACTTTCTTCTCAGTGTATTTTGACTAATCTATTTTCACTTTTCCTGTCCTGGAAGTATTGCTGGCTTTGAGTAAAAGCATCTTGTTTTGGGAGATCTCATAATTGATCAGATGCAAATTAATTATAATTTGGTACACTTTTTTACTATTTTTTGCCCTCTTTAGCTTGGCATTATTTGTGGTCAAGTTATATAGGAGGCCTACTGCATCAATGAGATTAGTCTGAGATTTCAGATCCATCATCTATATTTAATCATGAGATTAAATATAGTTGAAGATGTTTTATTAGATCTATATTTAATCATTTCTAATTTTCCTAATGTAGTCGAAGATGTTTTATTATATCAAATATGTTGGGCTCAGTAATGAAACGCCATATGGTGTCATGAAGTTTCTTCACACTGCCAAATGTGGGCCTAGTTTTCCCTAAGATAGTATCTTTACAGGTATTATATGGTCAATTCTAGGTCAGAAATTAGCAACCCATCATTGTTGTGTGTGTGCATGTGCTATCTGCAAATTCAATGTTTCTAGTTGATTTCTATGCTCATACATTGTGAGCAACTTGACTTCACCAGTGATTTTCATCATCTCAAACTTATAGAAAGTAGAAACTATAAAAATGTTGTGTTAGGAGATGAAATGAGTGATCATATAAACTGGAAAAGTTTCTTTTCTCCTTTGTTGCTTTTTGGAAGAGATCCATATGTTTTGTAGCACAGAACAGTAAGCAGGTTTACCTTTTGCATTTTAGACATTTGTATTACCTTTTTCAGTCCATCTTTTGACAAGTATTGCTAAGGCAAGCTTGTCTTCTGAAGCTTATAATTGAATATATTCAATTTTATTTTTATTTCCATATTAGTTTTGTGTGTGAAGCATAGCTGGCTTACAGTTTGCTGCAAACCCCAAATTTGATGAGTTAGGGATGCTTGAGTTTATGTTTTATGCCTTTTCTGGACGAGCATTAGTTTATATGTTTTGTATTCAACATACTGTATATCTTTCTATAACCTGCTTATGGCCAAGCCCTTTATATAGAACATGGATAACAAAGTTGGGACGGGTCATGAAATTATAGTGCAACATTTTCATGAAATTAATACATGTGTTTTATTTTATTTTTATAATTTTGTTAGGTTTTTATCTGGATTTGTTTCCCATGCAGTATGCAACATGTGCTGCAGAGCAAACCCAAACTGTTACAAGGCAGTCATCTTTTTTTTTTTTGAGCAGCAAAGAAAATCTTTATTGATGATGAAATCTTTTTTTTTTTCAAAAATCTTTTTTGTTGCATTTTTTTATGAGGTATATGTTTTTTTTGTTGCATTTTTTTATCTCACCTATATAAATCATTTTAGCTTTGGAACATATTAGAGGCCAGAAAACTTATAATTCATTCATCAATATATCCTTGAGGGCAAAGAGTCATGCTGGAATGTACTTTTTTATTAGATGTAATGTAAGGCATGCTTGCAATATGATAAATTGTAATTGAAATTTTGATTGTTCATAATTACCTATGCTTATATTAAAGGGCTTGAGTGGAGTGTTCTGGTGTTCCTTCTAAATGAAGAAAAAAAAAATTAAAATTGTCCCTTTTTATTGTTAGTGTTTTTCCGGATTTATTATTCGACGGCCATGGTTAAGTCAGTTTGAGTTTTCACTTGTAGGAGAAGCACACTCAATGAAAGTAGAGAAGATTTTGTACAAGGATAAATCCGAGTACCAAGAAATTCTGGTCTTTGAGGTTCAGCATTTTCATCTCCTAGTAGTAGATTGTCTTTGTAGTGATGACTTGCTTTCTGTTTTTCTGCCATTTATTGTCTTATTTAAGAATTTCCTGCTGATACTGGTTCTTTTATTTGCAGTCCTCAACATATGGGAAAGTTCTTGTGCTTGATGTCATTGTTCAGTTGACTGGGAAAGATGAATGTGTCTATCAGGAGATGATAACTTATCTTCCCCTTTGTTCAATTCAATCCCCCAAAAACCAAACTGTAATTTTCATAAATCATGGGTTCCATAGTTCATGATGAGTTTACTGTTTCTATTTTTATTCAAATTTAATTTCAAATGACATATAGCTATACTTAGATTATTGAAATTATAATGCAATTAAGTGTGAGGAACCTTTTGAATCCATAGCAGCTTCTTTTTTTTTTTCTTTTATTCTAGTTGAACTTTAATAGGCATATGTACTTAGAGATACATTTGAAGTTAAATGTCCAACTACACATGATTGTTATGGTGAAAAAAATATGCTCTCTTTGATTGTATGTGGAAAAGATGTTCTAATTATTTTTTACATGCAGTTTAGTGAATATGTGCATCTGAAATCTTATTATCCATTTTATATGGATCCATTAATCTAGGTTATTAATAATTTTACGTAATTAACGCCCCTAATTGTATAGCTGATTATATAGATAGACTTTCTTGTTGATCTTCTTTTCATTTTTTGTGGCAGCTGTTGAATTTTTACGGAATGTACCTAAAGGAAAGTATGATGCAATTATTGTTGATTCATCAGACCCTGCAGGTATGTTTGTAATTCAAACTTTCTACCTGTTTTCCGTTTTCCTATTTATTTGCCTGTGTTACAGTGCTTTTCAGAATGTTACTTAACAAATGCTTCATGATCTCAAACTATGCGGGAAAAAAAAAAAAAAAAATTTGATCGATAGTTGTCTTAGTTTTTCTTTTATATTTCTAGTCCTTGAAATTTAGGACCATATGTATTCACAATATGGAAGGTTATCTGAGTTTTCTCTTGATTTTTCTACTATTTGGAATATAGGCACATGATTATGCATACGGGTAGATGTTATATAATTTCGAACGCCATGATTAAGTGATCCCATAGTTAAGCCTATAGTTGTTTTCAAGGTAATTGAAACTCTTGTTGCAAATCACTATTTTGTCATAGAGAGAGGTCACTGGCATAGTTTTATTTTGATTATTTCAAGCTAAACTAACACATTGGAGTGCATTAAATTTTCAAGTCAAGTTTGATTTATGCTTTTGCAGATTTTGTTGAGGGAATAGTTGATATGATCGAGCGGTTGATGTTGGGAGCCAAATATTATGTTGCTCTTTTTTTTTTTTTTTTTTTTTGAGGACTTGAATTTTTTAGTACAGTGTATTTAAGGATGGTTAATAGATATTATAAATTTAATTAATTTGTTAATTTTGTTATTTTCATTTACAAAAAATTGTTTGGTGGTTGTAATTGATTTTTTTGTTGTAGCAAATCCATATATGATTTTTTTAATAAATAATTATTTGCGACAATAAAACAATGGTCGCTAAAAGTGCTTTTAATTTTTTAAATTTTTTTGCGACGGCAAAATGGCTGTCGCAAAAAGTAGTTTGGACGGTCGCAAATTATTTGCAACCGTTGTTTTGCCGTCGCAAAAAGTATTAGCCACCCCCACATTTGCGTCCCTCATGTGCGGTCGCATATGCCATCGCAAAAAGTCTTTTGCGACTATACTTTTATTATTTGCGACGGCATGTGACGGTCGCAAAAAGTATTTTTTTTAGTAGTGAGTTAAATCTGAATCACATAATAATTAAAAAAAAATATTTTGTATGTACACTAACTCTGTAAACATATTTTTTCAGTTAATTTCTCTATGTGTTAATTTCTCTATAGAATTGATATAATAGAATATTAATGGACATAATATACTTTGAATATGGGTACATTTAATTTAACTACTTTTCCTTTTTATTCCTCATAAATATGAGTTGATAGTACATGTAAATACTTGTAAGCATAAAATATTTAGAATTTGTCTTTAGAAATTTATCAAGAAAAATAATGCATGCTCAAATTAAACTCTTGTTTGTTGCAAGAGCCATTTCATCATAAAAGAATTTTCTCGGCCTGGTGCCCAATTTGAATTCATCATCCCTAGATTGATCGTGCACTAATTTGTCTTCTTTTTTTTTCCCTCGACCTTTCCTCCGCGAGACATACCAAACCAAAGCAATCCCAGTAACCAGTACTACACCCAAACCAACACTTAGTCCCACCACTAACTCTATCTTACACTTCCTTTCACCGCGGCCACCTTTTCTATGCTCATCATTTTGAAAATTTGCACCGAACTCCCATGACTTGATATCATTTTTTTTCGTACAAATCTCTTGTTGAAGTTGAGAACCCAAAGATCACCCATTCTGGCAAGTGATTTCTCAGATCAACGATTGAAAATCGTTGTGTGAATGTAGAACTATTTTTGAAACCAAAGAAGAAGACATTTAAGGTTTTGGGTGCTAGAATTATACATAATCCGAGCCTCATTTGGTATACCATATGAAATACCACTCGGCCAATATATAGGTTCAATGGAATTCCTAGAATTGATACAGACACCGACATGATTGATTGGCCAGCCTGCTTCCCAAGGATTATTTCGATAAGTATCAAACTCCACAGCGACAAATCAATTTGCATCGGTTGAAGTTGTCATCTGGTTTTCATTTATGAGGCCTAGCCACCGCTTGTTGAGCCTGGAGGGATATTAGAAGCATTGGGAGCGAGAAAGAATGCAAGCCCCTCACCATAATTATTTCTCCTTATGACAAATGAGAAATTGGTACTGAAGTCAGTGAGGATCCCTAAGGAATTGTCCCAAAGATGCATCGGTTGGGTACACATGGCGCGACCACTGCAACAATGACAAGCTGTACACATCAGGGTCTTTGATGACTTGGATGCTCTCTTTGGAGATGCAGGCATCTCTTGTGCAGTTTATGAGGGGGGATCATTGTGTTCAATAGTTGGGAGGTTGAAGGACAATGGAGTTGCTGTAGGAACAATCTTCTGTGTATATAAAATAACTTGAAATAAACTCAAACAAAATAAATAAATAACATACCAAATTTATTTTGTCGAACCAAATAAAAATTACAAGACCAAGTCGAGTGTGTGACACTCTGTCCTTAAGAAAGATTCGCCCCGCTACGCTGCTTACGGTTGAATGGCGTCTATCTCCCAGGATACAATGATCTTCACAAAAATTTATAGAAGCACTTCAAATAAATTTGTTCGGCAAACCCAACC